GGTGGGGGGAGGGGAAAGGAGGGGAGCAGGGGAGGGGGAGGGACGGCGGGCCGGTGCATGCCGGGAGGCGAGGCCAGGCCGCGGGGACCCGCCATCCCAGCGGGGCAGGGCGCCCGGGTGCCCCCTCGGGGCCCGCGTCTCCGGGAGACTCCGGGTTGGGAACGGGGGTCAACGAGGTCGCCCTTTGGGCCTTAGCCAACTTGGGCCCTGCGGGCGCGTCCCCGCCCAGCCAGGTGTCGGTGCGCGGCCAAGCCGGACACCGCCCAGGGTGAGGACCAGGGACCCGGCCGGGGCCGCCCGCGAGGCCTGAGCCCCGCCCGCGAGCGCCCTGCTGCGCCGGGTCCCGGCCCCACCCTGGAGAGGCCCCGGGGTCGGGCTCGCACGGTCCCTGAGGAAGAGAGGGCCGGGTCGCAGCATCAGGATGGATCTTGTGCAGCGATTTCCTGCCGCCGAATTAAAGTGTAACCAGTGGTTTAGCCGGGGCGAGGAAGGAAGTGAAAAGGCTGGGAAAGGGATGACATTTTTCCCCTGGGGACGCAGACCCACTGCGAAGTTCTTCCACTGTGTTGTTTGTGTTCTGTGTCTTGCCTTTAAAAGACGAAATTATCTGGATTCTGACATCCCCCTTTTCAGGCCTGCTGAGTCACGGAATATTCTCAGCGCCAGAATGACTCAGTTCGCAGAACCTGAGCCAGAAGATCATGAGTTTCAGTCCTAGATCAGAACCTGGGCACTGACCCAGTGCAGATGGAACAGGACAGGCGGAGCGAGTGCTGTGAAATGGACCAGCAGAAGGCAGCGGTTCCTAGACCTTCGGGTCCTGAGCAAAGCGGATGCACGAAATCAGTGCACAAGATGGATTTTTAACTTGTCAGAAAAGTAAGACTACTACACGGTTTTAGATCCAGCCGTCCTGCTGAGAGAGGAAGTGGGGATCTGGAACTATAAAATAAGGAAATGTTAGGTAACTACGGCTGGGGTCAGTGTGAGTCTCGCAATTCCTAATTAGGAGAGCCTTAAGTGTAATGGGGTAGTTGCATTCTGGGAGGCTTGCGGAGTCCCAGGCGCTTGGGTGGAAGCCTTGGGAGTACACCATCACATTTTGCTGTCAGGTATTGTTATTTTATTCGATGAGAAGGGTGGAGATTATACATTCCTAAAAGCCTCTAACCCTTCACCCAGCACCTTTTTGGAAGAAGTAAGCTGTGAGAACAATAATTACATTTTAAGCCTTTCCTACTTGAGTTGAAGTTAAATCAGTGTATTCACTCCTATAGAAGCTAGCCTCAGCTCTTCCTCGTACTTGAAAACAAATGAGCAAAAATAAAGATGTCAGCTATAAATAAAGCTCCAGATACTTTAATAGGTATGTATAATAAATATTAACTCATTTACCTTATGCATTTTCAGGACTTTATTGACAAACTGAAGGATCTTTTTTTATCTTCTACCAGAAAGATAAAGAGATCTGAAAGGCTGCAAAATCAACTTAAATGTGTTTCTTTTGTGTTACTCTTTCTGAGTTAACTTGAAACTACTGACCGGGAGTGGTGGCATATGCCTGTAATCCCAGCACTAGGGAGGCAGAGGCAGGAAGAACACAGGGTTTGAGGCCAGTTTGGACTACATGATGAGCTCCTTGCTAGCCTGAACTGCACAGTGGGACTCTTGACGCAAAAAGAAAAAAAGAAAGTATGACTTATGCTTGTTTGCTACATAGTTTAATTGCCCAAATCCCAGCTGACATTTGTAAAGCACACACAGATTGACTTCTTCCCTAAATCCCACTGTTCAGGGGAGTTGTGTTAAAGTTACAAGGAAGCACCTAAGGGGGAGAGAGGGGCTCGCAGCCATTGTGCTTGACCATAAAGAGTGTGTCCCATTCTTTGCTTATGGTTCAAAGATTTTATTGACAAAATTTTTAAGACAGTTTCGGAAAGCTGAACTCAAGACATTTGATAATATTAACAAAGTACTTTAGGTAACCCAGATAGTCATTGCTTTTTTTTAATGAAGATACATGAGACTTTCATTTACTGCAAGTTGTCCTGCTTTTCAGAACATCCCAGAGGCTTCTAAATGCTTGTTAACTGCTTGAAAAGTCCCTTATTTACTGAACAGATTTACTTACAGATTTATAGTGTTTAGAAGCAAATATGAAAGTAGAAGAAAAATTAGGTTCAGAGTCTTCAAAAGAAGCCTGTAGTGGCCAACCAGCACTGCCCCGTGCAGCGAGCCAGGCAGGAGGAAGGGATGTAGTTATTTATTGTACAGACAAAAAACGCCGTTTTGTTTTGTTTTGTTTAAACCCCATTTAGCACTCCAGAGAAGACTTCTCTCTACAAGGATTTCTGTAAATAACTTCCAGGAAGGCTGCTCATGAGCCTGTGTTGGTCGCTGGCAAATCCCTGGGCATTCCCACCCTGGACAGATGGATGAATAGAAAAGGTACTAGCCTACCGGAAACCATGGAGCTTGGAGCAAATGTTTAAAAAAAAAAAAAAAATTGCAGTTCACAAGGCAGGGTTTAAAACAAGAAAGTCTATCAGGTATTAGAATGTGTGACACAATTAGAAAAATAATTAGAAAACTTGTATTGACTTTCAAGATTGCAGTTTGCCAAGAGGCCGGCAGCAAGGGCTCCAAAAGCCCCACAGCCTGATGGGCCCTGAGCTGCGGGGACACAGGCCCCTTCCTGAGAGGAGGCAGTTGTTCACACTGCCTTCTGGACCAAGAAAAGGTGTTTTCACTTAGGTCTTGGGGGACTCTGAGGTCCACTGGCCTTGTCGGGATCTCTTAGGCCACATGACCAGAACTTAGATAGGACAGAACCCGAGGTGGGACACATCCCCAGGATGGGCGCCATCTCAGGGTCACCACCACTGACGTTCTAGAAGCAGGCCCAGTTTGTCACAAAGTCACCGACAGCAGAACCCTGCTTCTCCCCAGGCTGCCTTTCTGGTGACTTGTTCTGGGCCTTAGCTGGCACCCTTCCTCCCAAGCCTGCAGTGACCGCTGGTCATTTCTCCCAGGCTAGGCGCAGACAGTCACACTGAAGTGCTCTGGCAGAACCGGGCATAGTGCCACAGGCCTGTAATCATAGCTCTGGGGTGCTGAGGCAGTAAGATTGCAAATTTGAGGACAGCCTGGGTAGGTTAGGGACTTAATTAGAAATTATATCAGCATTGCGGATATAGCTCAGTGGCACCATGCCTGCCTGGCAAGCTCAAGGTCCTGAGTTTGATTCCTGGTATTAGAAAAAAAAAAAAAAAGGCTATGGATGTGTGTAGCTCAATGCAGAGGCCCTGGAATCAATCCCTAGTCTTAGGGAGAAAAAAGAAAAAAAGTTTGTAATTTGTCCCTTTTTTAGCCTTTTATAATTACCAATGTTTATTTTTCCATTTTTCAGTCTTTCTGACCTCATTTCCCTGTATTCTTCCCAAACTAAGCGCCACTATATTACACGCTTTATCTTTAGAAACATAACCTATAAATAACAGTCATTAATAATGAAACAATGTTAGCTCATAACTACATACTCCTGGGGGGTTTTCAAAAATACACTGAGCAGAGGATGATATTTCCAATGAGAGTTAAAGAAATGAAGGCTCGAGGAGATTAGGTAAGCGCTGTAGACTGGTGGGAGCGCAAGCTGGTGCAAGCCGACTTCTCTGGCCCCGGCCTGCCTACTTCCTCTTCTGTGGTGTGAAGCCGGCTGCGGAAGAGAGGAAAGAGAGAGCTCTCTGCATTTCTTACCTTTCCAAGGGTTTTAGACTATCAAATGGAAATTAAGAGCTGGAGAGATAGCTCAGTAAAATAAGCACTTGCCTGGCAAGCGCAAGGTCCTGAGTTCAATCCCTGGTACCACAAAAAAAAAAAAAAAAAAAAAAAGGAAATTAAAAGTTAGTGGACAATTAATGTGATACTGGGAGAGAATTATCATTTTCTTCCAAGTGGCAATAGCTGCACTCCACACTCGTGCGGGGCTTGTAGAGCCTGCGTGGGTCCTTGGCACAAGTCCAAGTGTAACAAGATAAACTATCTCTTGTGGCCAAGCTCAGGTAAAGATAGGATTCCTCTTACATGAGTTAAATTCCTCTCACACCCAGCCTAAGGCACCAACTCCCAGCCATCTTTACATGGTCACAGTTTTAAAAGGAAGATTTGAGTCCCAGTACCAAAAAAAGGCAGGAGAAAGAATATTCATAATTCAAAACAATCCTATCACAGTATATAAAATTTAAAAAGTTATTTACAGAAGCAAGTAGCAAAATCCATCCTCACACCTCCCTGAATCTTCCCATCATGGTAGAACTTCAACTCTCAAAAATTTTACTGTTCTGAACATTATGGTCTCAGGTTCTAGCCGTTTTGTTGCAAATAACATGATTCCATACTTCTTCGTGGCTGAGTAATACTTCATTGTGTATCTGTGTCACATTTTCTTTTATCTGTTCATCTGTTGATGGGCATCTAGGCTGTTTCCAAAGCTTTGATATTAAGAATTGTGCTGCTAAATAAAAATATGAAAAAATGTTCAGCATCACTGGTCATTCAAGAGCTACAAGTAAAACAACACTGAAATTCCATCTCACCCCAGAAAGAATGGTTAACATCAAGAAGTCAGCCAATATCAAATGCTGGTAGGAATGCAGAGAAAAAAAAAAACTCTTCTCCTCAGTGGGCGTGCAGACTGGTACAACCACTATGGAAATCAGTGTGGAGATTCCACAAAAAACTAGGATTAGAGGTCCCTTTCAACCCAGCTGTCCCCCTCCTGGGTATCTTCCCAAAGAATTAAAAACATCATATCAGTGACATATGTGCACCCATATATAGCAGCACAATTTGTAATAGCTGAATCTTGGAAATAAGCCAAGTGCTCACCAACTGGTGAGTGGATAAAGAAGATGTGGGGTCTTCCACAGTGGAGTACTGTGCTGCCACAAGAAGGATGCTCTCAAGACATTTCTAGAATAGGTGTTGAGTCTGTACTGAAGTGAAATAAATCAGGCACCCACATAAATACTGCGTTGTTTCTCTGGTGTAAGAAACTGAAAGCATAGTAACAACCAAAATGTGCAATAGATACTGTGAAATAGGAAGAAAATGTTCAAATGGGGAAGGGAGCAAGAGAGAGGGGAGAGGGAAAGGAGAGGAAAGGAAAGGGAAAAATATATGAGAAAAAAAGGAAAACAGAAACAAAGCTTTGTAAATGGGGAGGGGAGGAGGAGTTGAAGGAAGCGGAGGGGAATGGGACATAGAACAAGTTATATCATGTAGAGGTATAAATTCTCTATGATGAATATGATCATTATGTATATCTAAAATGTACCAATAAAAACTGAGTTTAAAAAAGCATTGTGCTACTATAAAATCCATTTGATTTCTCATACATGAGAAACCTAAAATATAAGTAAAATAAGGGAGAAGTGTTAGGAAACAAGAAAGCAGATATTTTGGAGATGGGAAAGAGATTGATTGGGGAGGAGGAGGAGGGAAACGAGGGAGATTAATAGCCTGCAAATTATCAAGATATGTTATTTATTTATTTTTGTGTGTGTGTGTGTGTGTTGCTGGGGATTGAACCCAGGGCCTTGCGCATGCAAGACAAGCTCTACCAATGATCCACATCCCCAGTCCCTCAGTGTTATATGCCGGTGCTGATTCCCCAAAACAAACAACTTTTGTGTATTACAAATGCTTTGATCAAAAACAATAACCCAATGCTGTAAAGAAAAAAAAATTTTTTTTTTTTTAACCAGGAATCAAACTCAGGATCCTGCACTTGCCAGGCCGGCATCTGCTAAGCTAGATTTCCAGCCCCTCAACCTTTTTTTTCTTTTTTTAAACAATAAATTTCTTTATATGTATTTTCATCAAATGTATAATATTCAAAATAATCTTCCATGTCCCACCATTAATTTAAATCATAGTTCAGAACTAATACATGTCTACACAGGACAAAAAGATATATTTCTTCTTGGGAGTATAGATATTCCCTTGTACATATTTTCAATTCATTTTATTGAGAAAAAAAATAAAATAGCAATGAAACAGTTTCAAAACAGGTTAGTAAAAAAAAGCAGATTAGTAGGACAGTTAT